CACGCAAAGGTTTATTGGTAGACGCTTGTTTGTAAACAATGACACGCTATGGTCATCTGACGCATGCGCAGGTGACGACACCCCCGCTTTAATTACAATAATGTGCGATGTTCAACATTACTGAGTATGGACAAATATTAATCGTACTTTGTTATTGATTGTAACATTGCTGAGTTATGTAAACGTGTCACAGAATATGAGTGAAAACCACTGTATATGATTTTGTGTTGATTAAGTATTCGACGAGACAAATAGGATTGCCACTGAGCAGCTGCAATAACATGTGTTCAGTGAAGTTAATATCAATACTGTGTGACATGAATTTGAATTCGTACTCACATTAAGGTAGTGATAGAGGGAATTCAGAAGAACAAAATACCCCCTAGATTGAATGAATAAAATAATAGATTTAATTTGCTTACTGTTCAACATAACAATCTTGAATATCTTAGTTGCGTGATAGGCTATCTTGTTCAAATTAGCATTAATTGTTGGAAGAACTTTATCAGTTTTTTGAAATTGTTTACCGAATAAAAGTATTCGCTAATCTGATACTAGTATAGTCGTTATGAAATATATTTGATAATAAATGCCATGCAATAGTAACATGCTAACAGTAACATGCATGTCCACCGTCACTGTCACGACCGCCCGTCCGTCTTTCTGGTGAACATGCAGATTATGTTATTACATTCAAGAAGGCGTTATGTATAACTCCATGATGTCACAACAACGGTAACGACAATTTGTCTCAATATACATGATGGTACGTAACTATGCAAGTTGTAACTATGCAAGTTGTAACTAGGCAAGTAGTAACTAGGCAAGTTGTAACTATGCAAGTTGTAACTATGCAAGTTGTAACTATGCAAGTTGTAACTATGCAAGTTGTAACTATGCAAGTTGTAACTAGGCAAGTTGGTGCACGAAGGAGATATTTGTTTTATGAACATAGTGTACGATGAAATAATCTACATGTAGCCTATACTAACTGGAAATAGACTATATTGTGTATTGATTGGTAATTCTCGGGTAACATAACAGTAGAAGGTGTGATCACGTGATATAAAGTAGAAAGTGATATTCAAGGTGCCGCAGATACAGATGATGTAGTGGTGCATATATAAAATAAAATATACTCATCATTTCGATGTAATGTTTACTGTCTTGCATTATTTGTTGTATAGCGCACGACATAACTTTCTAATTTATAGTTTACGTCGATTAGAATTTATATCTTTGAAAGTTCTCAGACATTATATAATAGTGGTAAAACCAAAACCAATATTGACGTAAATATACAGATCAGGATTGCGCATGCGCGGGATATTACGCAATTATCAATAGTAATGTATTACGGCCCAATAGCAAGTTTGGCAAATGGTACAAAGCTTGCATTTACGGTATTTGATTTTAGATTTTTGAAGCATCTGGTTTGCTAGTAAACAAGCGATTTCAGTATATAGCGTTAAGTCTGAAAATGTGGCGCTCGTTGAGATACATCGTATTTGTAGGCATGATTGCTTGTATAACTGCATACAAGGTAAGAATTATTCGTCCGTTAAATGTTTATAACGCAAGCTATACGACTAACTGTTTTTATCCCAACATGCAATTCTAAATGTTGTTAGCGTAATTATGTGGAAACAAAGTGTCACTGTGCATTTGTTAAGACGGGTTGCCAACTATTTATAATTGTAAACTGCACAGTTGTGGTCAGCATCCCACAAACCGACCACTACGTTTATATAATGCTGACCGCATAAACACTCTGATAGAAATTTGGACAAACTCAATCAACCGATCCTATAACGACGAACATGACCCAACAATCAGCTGTTATGTCTCTTTTTTGGATAAATACACTAAAATGATATATTTAGGCTCTGATGTGTTCATGAATTATACAAATACAACGTGACATTGAACAGACCTTTGGGAAAACGCACATTGCCAACTTGTTGAATAGTTAACGAAGAATTCTATCTCCTCGTCAACCAATAACGATGCCAAGGCTATACATTCTTAGACATTGCTCAAATAAATTTACATATAAAAAATAGCACAGGTGAAAATTACACTGCAAAATCAACTAATGAATATTTATGACTACATTTTAAGAGGGATAAGCACAGACGTTGGGTCTATTACAACATGTTGTATTTGCTATAAAATATATGATGGTAACACAATAGTCATGGTCATTGACTTTGTTTCTAAATAGAGAGCCGGAAAATGTCCCATGAGAACAAAGAGTTTAAATCGGGTGCAGTGTTGTTAGTGCAGATGTGGAGCTATGCTATGCATATCAACACAGCCATGGCGTTTTACAGACTGCGTCATATATAAGGCAATAAATGTTTTTACAGAAATAAACGTGTGACTATGACAATGAGTCACAGGGATTAGTTTAGTATTTACATTTCATGGAGACATTGTGCTTTATCGTTGGGACGCATTGCGTTGTGTATATCTTCCATTTACTATACATAATATACTCACAACTTTACATTTTTTCAATAACACATCAGACGATACATTTTGTTATTCATAGAAATATTTCTATTTCAGGATCCACGGTTCAAATGGGAATTCCCTAGAGCATCTGGTAATTATGTAATTTAGTTTATTGATACATAAATAATTGTTCATAACAGAACGTAACCAAATGAACCATACGTAAAACAGTTGTCGTAAGTATTAGTATTACAATTTAATAGTAATACAGATCACAGAGTACATAACTAATTTCATGAATTCCATGTGAGGGGTTCTTCCCTTATTTGGGTCACCTTGTATATATGTATTCCCACGATTTATAAGCACTGTTACCGAGTTGGATGTCATTATTTTTCTTAATTTGTCACGAGTAGGGGTATGTCAAAAACATGTTGTAATCAATGTGGTTCCTAGCGTGAGATATAAAGGGCACTCGAAAATGAAATGGAATTTGTGTCTCTTCACTCACTACATCTAAATAACGACCCTCTTAAATATGTAATCTCTGAAATGAAAAATGAATGTGTTAGTGCGAATAGTAAAAGTACTACTTCGGGTTATTGTATCCTTTGAATAGAAAATTCAAGTAATTTATCGCCGAAAAAGTGTTCAATTCGTGCTTTTAAAAGAGCCACTGACGCATAAATAATTATCATTTTTTTGTTTAATTTTGCGAAGAATCTAATCGGCACGGGCTGTGCTAGGTGTATTAATATATTCGAGATTAACTCAATGTTCTAGTTTTATCATGCGATTATAATCGAAATCAACACTATTCTTAGGGACGACGTCAAAAGATCGATATCGGATAAAAACTTAATTCCTTTAGTTTTTTTCCAAACCCCCCTACCCCCCACTGAAACTTAATTGATAAATATTGGTCATGGCGTCAGACTACATTAACCATTAAATACAAATTGATAATCGGACAGTAGTATTGCATAGCAGTTGGTTGTCGGGTGGGTGTAAAAAGATTTTACAAATGCACCTCATTTGACGCACAGATTTACACTCGAACCAAACCATTTTTCTGTTTTTTTTTCCTTTTCGGTTATTTCTGTCCATGATTGGATAGAAAAAAAACGAACTACAAATACTCCAAGATTTTGTTGACTTTATTAAAAAATAAAATCGTTTTTGTAGGATGGAAACTTTTTGAGGTCAAAACCCCCCACCCCCAAACTAAAGGAAATAAGTTTTGTTATCCGACATCGATCTTTTGACGTCGTCCCTTACCCGTGTATATATAGACGCTTATTTTTGAAAAACATTTTCCCTGATGAACATAAACATAAACTAATATATTATATATTTTAATCTTGGTCACCTAGGAAAATAAAAGTCTGTCGGTTTTCGTAAAGTATAATTAATATTAGAATATTATTAACATGAAACTAAAGATAATCAAATGAGCAAATTTCGGAAATGAATAATATGAGAAACAAGGTCAAATTGAAATACTTATAAAAAAAACAAAATTATAGCTATTGCCAGGAGCCAGGAAACAACCGATTAAATATCTTGTACATTCAACGCTTGTCTATATCAGACTGGGTATTATATGCATGGGTGTCCACATATGTAGAAATAATAGTTTCACCACAAAACAGTGAAATGTATAAACGCAGGCATGCCGGGAAATGACATGGTCTCTTGCTGCGACTCATTTTCGTTACATCTAAAACTTAATCTTCCCCATCGAAAAAAAAATGAGTGTATATAAAGTATACTCCTTTTACCTTTCTGTCAATGTATTAATATGATATTTATAGTTTTGTTATGCAATATAGATATGTTTGTCTCCAGTGTTTAACCCTTCGTCTATCAGACAGGGGTTGTTTGTTCGACAATTTAAAAACTACAAAACAATGCAAAGTCAAAAAAGCAAACAGAAAAACAAGAAAAAGGATATTCTTCGCCTTTTGATTTATTTGTTTTGCCAATATCAGCACAGTCCTTGTAGTACATAGTCAGGCGTTCTTTCCATCTATTTAAATACTATTTAAGTATTAAATTTCATCAATACTGACTAATTTCTGGTTTGTATATAGAAAAATAATAGGAAAAAAACATACCAAAAGTCAGTTTTTTGTGGCAAGTTGTTGGACCTTGAGTTTATGTTCGACCTTAATGCGTGGAACTTGCAGTCAAACGAACTAGGGCTTATTCTATCCATTTGTCTTGAATTTCATGACATAAACATTGAACCAAATTTACCTACATTTTCACCTGTAAATACCCATGAATATATTCCCTATATTACAGTTATGTGAAATTTTGTTTTGACCAAGAAAGTAAGGCTACTATAAGGGTTAAAGTGGCGCGCCAAGATTCAAATATTTAAATAAATATTTAAATATAATGTCTGTTTTAAATTACACTAGTTGTACATTATAACTAAATTCATTGTCATCTATAATAATTCGTTGTGCACAGATTAAAAGATTATCACATTCTGCTTATAGCTTACAATAATTTAAATAAAAAGACAGACACGGTATAAATTTAACTCACAGCGTACCGTTATTTAAGCAATATTACAATTATTCATAATGATCACTCTAACAAAAAGTCACAGACGAGAGCCGCATCCGCAAAATCAGCAGTTCTACAATCTATAAACCCCTATGATTTATTATTTTCTGCGATGTCGTCGGTCACTTAATTGAATACGTCATTCTGATTGAACAACATACCCACTTGACTCTACCCACCTACCAACCAGTGTCAGATGTCGGAGACTTATGAAGTGTTTTCCCATCTTATACTTGAGGATTGAGTAACACAACTGTTCAATTGTGAAGCCTAATTTTGTCATGTACAATCTCCATTCAACAAAAGTATGAGTCACCTAAAGCATTGTTTTATATACTATTGATAATTGTAATGCTAACATCATGCCTTAGTTGTTGATTCTGCATCTCACACTCTCAGTTTTGTTCTTTTTTCTTCTTGCTCAAGCCGTTCAACCAACTTGTCAAGGTTTGTTTAGATTTTATGTCAATATTATTTATTTATTTATTTATTTATTTATTTATTTATTTATTTATTTATTTATTTATTTATTTATTTATTTATTTATTTATTTATTTATTTATTTATTTATTTATTTATTTATTTATTTATTTATTTATTTATTTATTTATTTATTTATTTATTTATTTATTTATTTATTTATTTATTTATTTATTTATTTATTTATTTATTTATTTATTTATTTATTTATTTATTTATTTATTTATTTATTTATTTATTTATTTATTTACAAAAATGCAATCGTTTACCGAAACATTCACTCGAATGCACACCTGATTAACCCTAGGCCCTAAAGGTACAAAATGCTTTGTCCGTTATGACAAAAATGACAGCCATGTGGCAAAAGGAAAATGCAAAGATGTCTGCCCGAATCAGGCGTGGAAGTGAAGGACATTAGAAATAATCCACAAAGAAAGACCGATGTCCAGATGGAGAAGGGTGTATTTGCTGCGTCCGTAAGAGCAGTAAGTGGACAATGGCATTAAGAGAATGATGCTGTTTGATAATTTATTTTCCCCCACCCATACATATAATAACAAGGTCGCCGATTTCATGTACTATTCATTCTTGTACGTTTTACGTGTTTAATGCGACAAATGACAATGTAATTTAAAGTACAATTAATATGTGTAATGTGGGAATTATGGCTATTCTATTCAACCAATATACAAATCAAATTATTGCTCGAGACAAATGAATGACTTTTATTTTTTGGAAGAGGTGAGCCATTCTTGAAATACTACCGGTAACACCTGAACGGAGCGAAACGACTGGGACCCCTCGGTGAATGTTTGCATTTTCATTTTAAAACCGCCGCAACGGGTCGGGCATGTGTCATGAATTAGTTTTCGCGTATCTGTTGACTGACTTATTTAGCTGGTTACTAGTGAATGGCTGTGTTCTATCTGTCATCATTTAGGCTCATGCGAGGTCCTGGACGGAACGTGACTCAGTGATTTGGGACTAATTACGATATTACGAGGTTTCGAGGGAGAAAAACATCCCCCAATTTCCCCACCCGAGTTCATTTTCAATAAGCTGCTTTGGCCCAGATTCTCGTGTTACTGTTTCACATGTACAATTTTTACTAAATTACTACACACTGTACCTAGAAAACTTACATTGATTGGCTGTGCATTGTACCACTCCTCTAGATGTGTGACCTCTTGACTTTTCACTGATCTTGAAATAGTAGAAAGAATCTAAAATCTTACCAAGGGATATGCGAGGCATCAAAATTGTCTGTATATTTTATTTCATAATAGGCAAGGGATCTTTTTCGACATTTTTAGGAATGAATATTTGATCATAATTAATGTATTCACTACGTTTTTTCATGTCAAATAAAATATACTATACTAAACTTGGCAACACGGGGTGGGGTTTTCTTGTAAATGTGTTGCATGGGTGTGTTATTTCCAAACTGATTCACCCACTATTCTATGATTGCGTTTTGGTTTGCATTGATTCTGCATGGAACTACTATTCTAACTGCAGACACAAGAACCGTTGAGTTCGAATGCTACTTTTCATATAAACAGAAACAGTGTTGTACTATAAATTATAAATATCGCGCTCACTGTTTATCAGGGGGACACTCATAATATTATTACTATGTGACAATGCCAAGTGGTCGTTTAGCTCCGCTCATTTTGAACACGAACACCGATTTCTGTTGATTATCTTTATATCAATTTAATGAAACTGTATAACCGTTTTTAATGTTCCTATTTTAGTAATTAGAATTGAAAACTGGGAAATTCCATGTGGGCTGTATTGCGGTAAGTCGAATGTTATGTACTTATATAATAATACATCGGGGGTTGTAAGGCACTATGGCTTGTACATGCTTGAAATAGCGCACATGTATGACATAGAAACAGAATTTCATTATTCTAACAAAGAATTATTATTGCAGAACCTGATTGCACTGCCGTACATGGAAAATGTCAATCGTCATGTGACCCGGAAACACAACAGCGAGTACGTAAAATCAAATGTCCATTGAAATGTGTTTGTTGCAAGTGTGAGTACAAATACAAGTTGTTTTCTGCCAATATATAAATAATCCTATATACAATTAGTTATCGAGATAATTAAATTCACATATATACAATTGTTGCTACTAATTGTTTTGTTTTTACTTGCTATTACAGCCTATTCAGAAACAAGTAAGTAGCAAAAACACCACCTCTCAAGTGTACATGATTATCAAACATTTATGGACCAAATAAAATTATACATCAATATCTAAAAATAGTCTTCTTTGTGTTCGAAAAGCATTCGAAGAGTACAGAACAAGGATTCATATTGCAACATATTGTGACTTCCATCTACATGGCAACCAGATCAACATCACTACCATCATTAAATATAATTGGTCATTGCATTCATGTCATATGTATTTTATGTAATCCATTCATGATTGTTTGAGTTATAAATAAAATTAGTATCCGAAATTGTTATATATATATAACATATCATAACCTCCACCAAAAATTGAATGTTATAAATACAAACAAAATCATTGTATTGCAACTGTATCCTCGTCTGCACTCAAATTTAAACAATTGCTCCCTTTGTTCCTGGCACCATCCTGATAATTTTATGAAAATTCATGAATATCCTTTTGATAACAAAACCCAATAAACATGTCAATATAACAATATATGTGTATACCGTATGAACATTTTCAGGTAGTTTCTATTAATATTATTCACAGAAAACGGAAAAAATATGGTGTCCGTTAAAGCTGATCCATTCTTCTATACATTCGATGGGAAGAACTTCAAGTATGACGGACAAAATGGATGCGTATATGTTCTATTCCAAGAGTGTGTGTATCGTCCATCTTTCTCTGTCTTGATTCGCCACCACTTCATTGAAGATGCCGAGAAAATGGTGGTTTCTGAAGTATCAGTAGTGTTAGAGGACATCCGAATTAGCTTAATTAAACAGAATATTTACGTAAGATGGGTTGTTTACTTGAAAATATGTATAACCTAATATGGATTATATGTGTTTATATGTGTATTCGTTTGTTTGTTTATTATACGTGTATTTTTCTATGGAAGCGAGTATGTGGTGGTTTTAAATGAGCGTTGTTTACAAGTATAGTTAAGGTAGCGAGACTTTATTATTTGTGTTGAAAATTACGA